CGCTGTGGATTAGCCGCAATTTCGGCGCGCCTTCCGCTCGATCTCTACAAAAACTATCAAGAGCCGACAGGGCACAGAACGGGCGACCTAGAGGAACTATTGACCACGAAAAATGACCACTTTGCTAGCCCCACCCGCAGTTTCATTCCCGACCAAGGGCCCAATGGGCTGGTCGGAGACAAGTACGGCAGATACCTCGTCCAAATCCTCCATATCTGCTCCCACGGCCACCCCCACTCATGCCCCTATGGCTTCTACAGCAGAGGACACAATGACTGCTGAGAGCCAGGGCATACCGATGCAGACCGCTTCTACACAGACCGATAACGAAGTTTTATCAAGGGCTACTAGCCATGCTGCGAATCGGGCCAACGACAGGAATTATCTGCAAGGTCAGGCGGAAAAACCTGGCCAAGAGAGCGATTTAGACTCCTCTCCTCTAAAACCTAAACAAGGCGCTGGTTTGTCCGTCTTTCTAAATTGCATTGCAACAAAGCAGCTACAGCAACTTGCTAATATGTTCCACTGCTAGCTTCCCACTACTTACGCAGAGCAGAAGCTCATGAATTGCCAAGTTTCGGCAATGTTGGCCTAGCAAACCCTGAGGCCGCCGGTGCTGCCGCAGCTTCTCTTGCACATGCTTCTGCTAAGCCTGTGGAAATATGGAAACCTGACCCCATCTCCGCAGCTGGAGCAGCAGCATGTCTAGCTCATGCTAGCCCTAAAAGAGTAGAACCATGGAAACCGACCCAAGGAACTGGGGCAGGAAAAGCAGCTCGTCATGCCTTGGAAGACAATAACGACCGTATAACCCCCCTTACAGAACCGCAACCTCCAGAGCGTTGGTCACTGACTGGCACTCAAGGGTCCATGAAAGTTTGTCGTGCCGGGCCCTCTTCAACTCTCCAGCACGATTCGGGGACAGAGATCTCAGGGAATGCTTTGACAACTGCACCTCCTGCTCACATGCCAATGGTTCGACGTGCGTCTAACGCCGTAGAACCGGCTTTCGAACAACCCGTCGAAAACGATCTCAACAATGCTGGCGGAGTTTCACAACAGGAAAGGCGCAAATCGGATATCCTGCGGGCAGCCACAATATCCATGGTTAAGCGTAATTGCGACACCCACTCACCTGACTCACCAAGACATCGTGTGCCGTCTCCGGGACGGCAGCGTCCCGCTGCCCCGCCGTCCTCACGCCATCAAATCTACGGTCCGGATCTCGACGAGGCTGCATGCAAGGTCGCTGCGGCGCGTCTGGCCTTGATCGGATATGACCCCAAACGCTCTGCTTCCCTCTTAGAAGCCAAAGGAGCTCAAGCATCGCTCAGTCGGTCTCGGTCGGTTATAGCCGAGGATGCAAGTGACCATAGCGTTGCCCAGAGAACCGACGGAAATCCATCCCGTTCGCACGATAATCTAGCCAGGCTAGAGAATAAAAAACGTGGTGAGAACGCTGTGCTGCTTATGGCGGCGGCCCAGCGAAACGTTCAGGCTCAGATGTCAGGACTCGACCGCCAGATTGCCGACTCCAAGGGTTTAGTCCGCAGGGAGGATTGGGAAGCTAGAGCGAGAGAATTGGCCCAGGCGAGTCACGATAAGCGTCAGCATCAGAATCAAGGTATGGTCAGCATTGGGGGCGGAGGATATATGACACAAGAGGAAATAGACGCAATTGCGGCGAGAAATGTGAGACCTGTCTTAGATGAGATGACAAGGAAAGCTGAAGCGGAGAGAGCGCGGGTCTCTGCGGAAAAGACTAGAGCGGCGGAAGAGCGAATGGAATTAGAAGAAAAGAAACGTCTCCAAGAAGTCTGGAGGGAGCGGGAGAAGGAGACGCAAGAGGAATTAAGGAGAGCTCAAGGTACCGTATGCAAAATATAAATATACAACCAAGCATCCCCTGCATCGCCCTATTAAGATTTTTTATCTCCCTTCCGTTCTCCCCCTCTTTACTTGCGCTCCGCTGTAACAAATGATTTTCAACACCATCCCGTCGAGAACCCTGTACGCTGATAGTAAGAGGGCAAATTCCATAGCAATGGGAAAAGAAGAGGGAAAATGTCGCAAGGGGCAGGAAAAACGCCACCAAAAAGAGCGTCGGCACTCCTTCAGAACCGAGAGCAAGCGAGCAAAGGGCAGCAACAGCAATAACAACATCCAACCGCTACAACTGCTAGCGCCAATAGTATCTAATAGCAACAGCAATTCCGACGATCACGCCCCTATAACCCCCCCAACGTCACCAAAGGAAGAAAAAGGCCTCCGAGGTCTAATCAACAAATTCCGCGTGAGAAGACTCTCCCGAAATGCTCGCAGAACTAGCTCGAAAGAACCCTCCTCTGTAGGCGCAACCGCAATCACAAAGAACTATCCTTCAACCAATTGCAATACAGCCCCATCCCGCGACCCCAACATCCCACCACCATCCGCCCTCCAAACCAACGGTAGTCAAACTCCGACGACGACCCCCACCCTCACCGAGGTTGCCCTCTTGGGTGCTCCTCCGCCAGCGCCAACCGCCAGACTCCCAAGAAATCCCCCACACACAAGCTCTCCAGTATCAAGTCTTCACTCCTTCCAATGCCGTGGCGAAACCGTACTAGAAGTACACATTTCTGACGACGACGGTAGTGGCGATGCCGCCCACAACGGCTACAGCAATAGTAGCAACAATCCCCAAAGGAGAAAAGGGGAAGACACAAGAAATCACTCGAATGGCGCTGAGGAACACAATACATTTCCTGGCACGCCGCCGGCGCTGGCGGCACTGAACCTCTCGGGGGAGCAATTACCTTTGGAAAGGGAAGCCTCGGCCGGGGAACCGGGGAATAGAAGTTCTATTGGGAGTAAATTTTTTGAGAACTTGTAGATGGAGGGGGATGTACCAATAGTTTTGTCCTATTTCGGGTCGGGGGTTTGTCGCCTTGCTTTCAACCTTCCATTTTCATTTATTTTCCTATCATTTGCTTTTAAGTGGGTTGGGTTCGGTACGATACGGCGCTTCATTCATCCATTCTCTCTCCATGTTCTTCCCATTACGAAATTGACTGACGGGCGGATGCATCCGTACGACAACGCCGACTCATGATCCAGGGTTTATGCTTTGCCCCTTCACCTTCCCTTCATGTCATCTTTCTGCAATGTTAAGGTCGGGTAGGGTGCGGTGGTTGGTAATATAATTAGTATCATAGGAATGAAGGACCGAACGGGCTCATGTGATGATCAATCTATAGAAGTTTTTTCTTTGTTTTTTCGGCGATAATTATTACAGGATTGTTAGTGGGGTCAATAACTAGTGGTAATGTATTTTATTCTACTCGTACGATACCTTCAAATTGGAGGCCTTCTTTGCAGTGTGATTAATCCCTAGACTACCGCACACAGTATAGTACTCGACCACTCGAGCAGACTATTGCTGACCTACGGTATTCCGCTAATTCCAAGATTATCAAAGTTCGACCCCCCACCTCTTCGCCCCGTTTCTTACAAGCATTTGGGCATATTAACCCATTGTACAGTACACACCACCACACCCACGCCCGCTAAACTAAGAAACCAATGACAATCGCAAATTTTTAACAATTACTTGTACTAATGCCCCCAAGACAATAATCCACCGCGCTAAGAATACCGGTACTGTACTGTACACAGTATCTAGAGTCCACCAGACACCGCTTCTCCCTCCCCTCAAACTTCTCCCGCCTCAATACACCAACCATCTGTTCTACCCTTCCTAACCAAACGCCTCAAAACCCCAATAATGCACCCCACCAGAACCCTACAGCCCAATAAAAATAACGATAACCAGCAAAGTCACCCATGCAAAACTATAGACATGAATTCACAAAAAAGAAAGAAAGAAAGAAAGAAAGAAAAAGAATAGAAACTCATGATTTACTTTGCCCGGTCCAGAAAAGAGTCAAAATCCCAAAAGCTAAAATAATGAAAACCTTGAACGCCGCCGTGGTCTAGTAGTTTTAAGAAAGTAAGGAGAACAAAAGGAAAGGTTTTACTAGGCAGTGTTTGTGGTCGTAGTATGTATGTATGCGTGTAGTGTTATGTACGGTACTAGTATGGTGTGGTGTGGTATGTGGTAGTGAACGCATTGAAGGAAATGAGATTTCAGAAATCCGGTGTTCCCAAAGTGTTATTATCGGTTTGGCTTCGGCATCCGTGGTATGGACTCAAGCCTTGATCAGTGGATATTCTCTGCATTTCACGCCTAGCCTCACGTTGGGTTTCCTCCTTCGTTCGGGCTTTCGGTCGGAGGTCGTAAAAAAAGGAGAGGACGTAGAATGTGAAGAAGAAGGCAACCACTGTGGTTACTATGTTAGCGCTAGTCTAGATAGTACAGCTAGATATTGGAAACATACGCCACTCAAGAACTGCCGCTGCATTAGCTTTGCGTTTGTACATTGTGGTTCCAAAAGCGACGGACCTGAGCCATGGTCAGTATCGTGTGGGGGGGGGGGGTAGTTTAATGATTATGAGATAAAGGTGACCTACAACACCACTTCGATGACAACAATACCGGTCTTTATCCAGTAACTTTTCCTCAAAATTGGGTGTTCGACATAAACCCTCCCAAGGCGCCAGTACTCGATTGTTGTAAATATCGCAGAGAGAACGACTCCTACAGTTCCACACGGTTAGAGTTATTGCAAGGGATTCGTAAAGCCAGACGTTCGGTGGGCCCCTACCAAGCATGAACAAAAACAAGAAAAGTCTGTGAAGAGAAACGTGCCTCTGCGTATCAAATACCGAAAGCAAAATCAGAGACACGGCTCCAAGAGACCCTGTCGCGAGCGCAAGCCAATCCATGGTGCTTTCAAGACGGGACCTAAGGGCGTGATTTCGGCCTGTGATTTATCCATTCATTTGGAAAGTCAGCAATTGATTCGCCCTCTGACGACACTAACCGGTAAGGAGGACATACGCATAAAAGCCAGTGAGAACACAAACCCTACGGCTGTAATAGCACACCCAGTGACAAACAGTGGCTTGAGGACATTGGCACCTAGTCCCCAGACATCAGCAAACTTGCCTCCCAAAACTTCTCTCATCATCCAGGAGTCCGGGCCAATTACCAATATCCGAAATGTAGGCAATGGTCTGGCGCCGGTTCATGGAAGCGTATATCGGCTGCCCCTGAGCAAGCCATGTAATCATCATAGCCCAAAGCATGGCTAGAGCATCCTAAAGTCAGCTTTCCACCTCGACCACAAGCTCACCATGGTTTCCCCAGGGCAGGAGTAAGGAGAAATCAAACTTACAGAACCAAACGCCACCACATATCAGTGGCATTACCCAATACGGGAAATGCTTCCTTGCATGTTCCAATCGACTCTCCTTGCGAGTTACGGTTGCCATACTGCTGCTGGCATCAGAGCTGTGGTCCATAATGGCAGGTTTGTTATCCTAGATGTCGTTTCGAGGGTTTTCTCTTTTTCTTTTTTACGGGTGGGTGTCACCTATTCAACGAGACTGAGGTCTGGATTGGGTTGGATTGGATGCAGGAATAGTATGAAGCTGTGTGATAACCAACATCGGAGAATAAGTAAAGAAGAATAAAAAAGAAGAGCAGAGGGAGGCGAGATATCAGGGGATATATGAGCCCAAGAGAGTATGGAATATCCCACAAGTATGCTTACCATTACCAACGAGGGAATCTAGCAAACCCGCAGCCAGGGTGACGAATCCAACAATCCCATTCATCTAACCCTAACCACTCAGTCGGTAGAATTGTTCGTAGACTAGACCAAGTCATAATAGCCAGCCCCCTCTCTCCCTCTTCCTTTCTCATGTTTGTACGAGCACTTGCTGGGGTGGCGAAAGGGCTGGGTTGAGGGGGAAAACAATGGTTACAAAATCCTTACCAACGAACAGCGCGCCAGTTCACAACACAACCACGGACTTGGAGGGTACCGAGTTAAGATCGGGTATCTTTTTTTTCTTCGAGGAATCTCGAAGATTCCCTCACGCGAGCCCCGAGCATTGATCTCACCCAGTCTATCGCGCGCGGGTTGGTAGTGCACGAGTACTGCACAGTTTGATACTCGAGTGTTGTGCAGGTACTGGTAGAGTACGTCATTCTGGAGGCTCCAACAGGGTATATGCAGCCATAAACGGTAATGGCTGGCGGACGGACCATCGCCGCGGCCGAGATCCAATGCCTCCACAGATCATTATGTCCGACGGGTCTACATGTAAACTCCGGCTTGGGATGCAAAAAAGAAATATACCAGTACAAATCATTTGCTGGTGACATGGATATCACGTGCCGGGACGGAAACCTCCGCATAAGGAATTCGGCGGATACCAGTATTATCGCGAACCGGGGGAGTTAGAGCACTGTATGATACTGATATGATACCTTCATCGAGCATGAATTAATCCCCATCGTGTGATAAGCGTTCATCGTCTCAGCGCTCGTTCGAGTTATTAAGAAGAGCCATACCGCTACTGTACTGTTTTTTTGTTAAATCCGCGGTTTATTTTGCAACTAAGTACAGGGAAATCCATGGCATGCACACTAAAGTATGGCCTAAAAACCCCTATCCCCTGGACTGCCAGCAACTGCCATTCACGTGACCTCACCGGATGTGGTTTGGCTGTATCAACAAGCGCTCCGGGGGTTTAGCACCAGTTTGTCCGGTATCATCAAAGACCCCTATACAGTCAAGGTTTGTATAGTATTTCAACTGGTTTTAATAATCCTTTATGGCCCTCCATGTTACAGCCCACCATATTTAACACATGTCTACACTACTTGATTGACTCTGATCTCACCAAGTTTTTCCATGACTCTGCCAGTCAAGCCCGCACAATATGCTCCAACAAACAGCTCTTCTTTTTCAAACAGATAGCTTCTCTACAAACTTTACAGCCATACCGTAAAAACCAAAATAAACAAACAATGTGCTTTGAAGTTGGATTAAGGTAAATGAAACAAGAAAGGGGGAAATTAATGTCTTAGTATTGATCTTCTTGGCATAATATCAACGACATCCCATTATCACAATGTACATATTTTAACATAAAGTAATATACATGATATTTTCAACTCCATATACTACCATATTCTCAATAATAGTCTAAAGTTAGTTATGCTATCAAAAGAACCAAAAATATATGGCTGAATCAAAGTTTAGCCTGTTTTACCACCCCTAAAGCCTGGCAAGTTCTAAACTAGTGTCGAAAAGCGAAGAGGACCTAAACGAAAGCAATTAGTCAAAATTCTCCATTATCAGCAGAAGAAATCCAGTAATCAACATCAGTCCTACACCATAGAATATAAGCTATGTGTCCTGTCATACTGGTATGGAAAGAAGGTACCATGTGTAACGATCCCCTTTCAGATAGTTAGTTCTTGGTGACGGGGAACGATACTTATCTTTTCTTTCTCTTTCTTTCTTTGTCTTACGATAGCTCTAGGCCTCTGCCTATGTTACCGATAGTACAAGACCTTTGTCTTCTATCGGAAACACCTATCGTAAGCTTTCTCTAACTCGTCTTCGTGACGAGTGCTTTTTGGCGTAATGATAATGTTGCAATAAGGATAAAGATCGTAAAGGTGTTTTATATTCGTTAAAGTAATATGTAGGAAAAGTACTTAGAACAGAGCGTGAAGAACCTATCTTCCTTGGCTGCATCGGCCTCCTTATATAGTGTTCTTCCCGCCTTTAATCATGTGACCTAAAGTGGTCACATGTGTGAAACCAAATCATAACAAACTAGTCATGTGACCAAAGTGATCACATGCTCAAACCCCATAACCTTATAGCGAGGTCATGTGCAAAACTCATAAACCAATCATAACACAATAAACAAGTCATATGACTTGACTGAGTCATATGTGCGAAGCCCATGACCTCATAATGAGGTCATGTGCGAAACATAAATCATATGCGCAAGGCTGACCTGCAAGGCACACTCGCAAGGCATACTCGTCAGGCGCATGTCCCATGACTCATATTTGAGCCATGTGCGAAAGCATCACAAATCCCACACATAACAAATCATATAACCCGAATGAGTTATATGCACAAAACAATAACATACCTGTGACTCATAACCATGTGTCACGTGAAAACCTTTTCCATGCCAAGCCACATTCGTGACATTAGCTCCCCTCCTCCTAAGCCTGAGTCCCATCAGGCCTTTTCTCCCAATTTCAATAGTTCCCGTCCTGCCGAGCGCATGGTCCTTCTCAGCTTGTGGAACTTGTCGTCTGCCATCCTCCATCTGACCCTCACCGATTCCAGAGTCAGGTTCGCCATTTCGATCGTGTGCCGCTGATTGTCGTTCAGCTGTTTTAACTCTGCGATCATTTTGTCGTTTGCCGAAATTGTGGCCTCGGCTTGGCCCAGTTGTTCTCGGAGTCCCCGGATCTGTCTGTGTAGGCTCCTCATGTCCGGTTCCATGTCTGCTGAGGAGTTTTGGGCCCCTCCCTCTCTGGACCGCGTCCTCGCGGCCTATGCCTTTCTGGTATCTTCTCCTTCCAACTCTTTTCTGCTTCCATCCTTCTGCGGGTAGAATCCCGCAGATATTTTCTGTGCCCTGTGCATCCTGCACCAATTTCTGAAGCATTGTTGCCAATGCTTTAGAACGTGGTCTGGGCGTGGGCCACGCTTTCGACATTCCCTCGGGAACCATCCCGAGCCTTCTTTGTCGCCAAAGTGTGTTTGGCAACCGTCATCGTAGCATACCGTCCATGACCTGGTGTTATGCTGTGCTTGTCTTTCCCTTTCCTTGAGTTCTTCGTCGGTTGGCCCCATGAATGAGTATTCAGGGCTGGTGGGTATAGTTTGGCGGGGGCTATCGCCCCAGCCCTCGTGTTGCTGCAATGGCACGGGAGTCTTTCCCTCGCTTTTGTCTTGGTTGAACGTGATCGTCACCTGGGCCGGGCTTGCCTGGGTATCGCTGGTGGAAGGTTGAGATGGCATTTTGTGCGTTTTCGAAGTTGTGTGCGAAGTACCAAGTTTTATCGTGTTCAAGAGAGTATCCTGTCCACTTGGCTCGGTATTGGAGGTGACCGTGGAAGAAGCGGGAATCGACTATTTCGTCGAGCTCGTATTCTGGTTCTCTGTCGAGTTCGATCGGAGGGGGAGGAATAAGTATTTGGGAAGGAAACTTATTGTCGTTGTATAATTCGAGGAGTGAGATGTGGAATGTGTTGTGTATTCGCATTGAGGGGGGAAGGTCGAGTTTATAAGCTCGACTGCCTACTTTTTCCCGTATCCGGAATGGTCCTATTTTCTTGTAGTCCAATTTCTTTGATGGTCGCGTCGTATGAATGTTGCGTGGTATTAGCCATACCATATCTCCTGGTCGTATGTTCGGATCTGGTCTTCGATGCCTATCATATTGTTCCTTCTGTTGTTGTTGTGCTTGACTCATTTCGTATTGTAATATTTTGTGTAGTTTCCCCATATCTGTTTTATCCGGTATCACATCATTAATCGTATGATATGTGGTCTGACTTTGTAGATGTTGTCCGTAATTTGCGAAGACGGGTGTCGTGCCAATTGTTTCTTGCTTTCCATTGTTGTATGCGAATTCGGCCATAGATAACAGCTTGTACCAATCATCTTGCTGATAATTGACGTAGGCCCTTAAATATTGTTCGAGTATCGCATTTACCCGTTCCGTTTGTCCATCCGTTTGTGGGTGGAATGCTGTGCTCATTCTATTTTGTATTCCCATTTCTCCGGTTACTTTCTTCCATAGTCCCGATGTGAATAGTGTTCCTCGATCGGTAATGATATTCTTTGGGAGGCCGTGAAGTCGAAAGACCTCTCGGAAGAATGTTTGTATAAAATCCCTCGTGTTGATGTCTTTTCTAACCGGAATGAAATGACTCATTTTGGTCAGGCGATCCACCACGACCAGGATGCTATCGCAATTTTCCGATGTTGGTAGGTCCGTGATGAAATCCATAGTAATTGTTTCCCATGGTTGTTTGGGAACTTCATTTGATTTTAGTAATCCATATGGTGCGTGTTTAGCCGTTTTCGTTCTCTGGCATATGTCGCAGTTTTTGACATATCGTTTGACATCTTCGCGCAGTCCTGGCCAGTAAAATGACCTCGTGATGAATTCTGTGGTTTTTGCCATTCCTCCGTGTCCTGCCGTTCGGATATCATGGTGTTGTCGTATGATGTCTGTCCTTATCTCCTCTCCTTCTAGGATCCATTGTTTTCCATCGTACCACATATTTCCGTCCTTCCATTGGCATAACCCCAGTGCAATTCCTTTCATCTCTTTTTTTCCTTCTTCCAAGGCTTCTCTTATTGCCTGGATTGTTTTGTCTTTCTCGTTTGCGTCCTCAATTCCTCTTTCCACCTTTGATGTGAATTGGATAACCTCCATTACCTCGAAGTAGGTTTTTGGTAATAGGGTTCGTGTTTTTTATTTGATTCTTTTGTCTTCTTTCGTTTGTGGTTTATCGCTTGCAATCCTCGTGAGAGCATCTGGCTTTCCGCTCTCTTTTCCTGGTCGGTATTCGATTTTGAAGTTGTATTTGCTAAGGTGCACCATTCATCTTATCTGGCGGTCGTTCAGTTCTTTCGTGGTCATGAACGGGACCAGGTTCTTGTGGTCAGTTAGAACTCGGACTGGATGGTCATTGTTCGAAACGTATCTCCTCCATTCTTTTAATGCTTGAACTATCACTAATAGTTCTTTGTTTGCAACATCGTAGTTGCACTCTGCAGGGGTCATTATCTTGGATCGGTAAGACACTGGCCTCCATTTTCCATCATCGCATTCTTGCGATAGTATGCCTGAGCATAAGTATTTTGAGGCATCCGGTTCGATCATTGTCTTTCGGTTTGAGTCG